GGGGGGGGGAAAAAACAAAAAGGGGGGCGCACTTTTCATGGGGGGGCCCTTTTGGGGCCGAGGAACCCCCCCCCCTTTTTTTTTTTTTTTGGGGGGGGTCCCCGGGGGAGCCCCCCTAGGAAGGGGGCCGGGGAAGGTCCTGTTCTTTAATAGAGAACTAAGAGCGGGAGGCTTCTCATATTCCACATAGCTATTGTGTGTCCACTGATTCAACGGTGTTAGAACTGCCAATAGTGCATCTGTTCCCCCCCTAAAAGGGGGGGGGGGGGGGGGGGGGGGGGGGAAGGAGAATCCTGCCTGCAGAGGGAAAGGCCTGGGGGAGTTTTCAGGGCCTAATGCCACCTTCCAGCCCCAGCAGGCTATGCCCCTGCTCCTTGGGACTAGCCAGCTTCAAGGCACTCGTAAGGCCCTCAGATGATCCAACCAAGCATTCCCATCCTAGGATGGAGAAGCACAGCACAGGAGCCCGGGGGTGGTGTCATAGCCAAGCAGCAGGGTGCAGTGTGTGGTATGAGCAGGCTGACCGGGCAGAGCCTTTAAACCCGTCCCCTGTTGCCAGCCTGGTGCTGTGCCTGAGGGGAGAAAGAAGTTCAATAGGCTGGCAAGCCCATCAGGCAGCAGCACCCCAGGTAAGCAAGCTGCAACAGGATGGCTTGGACGTGTCTCAATTGGTGGGGGTGGCCGCAGCACAGTATGGAAACATCTGGTCACCATATGGCCCCTACTCACAACCCAGAACTGGACCCTTCGCTCACCTCCCTACTGCCCAGCCCCCAACCCCCTATACCAGAAGATCCCAAAGGGAAGCTGTGGCTCATGGGAGACAGAGCAGCTGACACCTGGACTCACTCTGCCTATGTCCACACACCACCCTCACAGTCCCAACCTGGAGAATGGAGATAAGATTATCCTGGGACACAAGGGACAGAGTCATAGGGGCAGCAGAGGAATCTGGGTGACAGAAATGACTTCTTTAGAAGCTTGTAGGCTTTCCCAGAGGTCCAGCTCCCCACCATTTGTGGAGCCCATCCAGAGTAACCAACCCTCTTCCCACCTCCCTTCCCATGGCTGCTGTCTGCAAGGCCCGTTTGGCAGCTCTGCCTCACACAGGCCCTGGCAGCTTCACAGGGCTGGCCCCAGGGCCCAGATTATGCAACCAGCACAACCAGCCAACCAAGCCAAGCCGGTGGGGACTCGCACCAACTCAAAGGACCCCTGCCCCAGCATCATGGAGATGAGATTCTTCCCCCCATCTCTTCATCTAGCACAAAATCCATGTTCTCACCACAGAGGGTCAGATTCTTGACCAGATGGAGAGATGGAGAGAAACATGACCCAAAAGCATGGGGAAGGGAAGAGTAGGTAGGGTGGGAAGGAAGCATTTGGGAGAATGGAGAGTTAAACATGGGGGTGGGGTGAGAGCTCTGGGGCCTCAGGATTCCTGCCATAAGTCTCTCCTCATCAGAGAGATTTTCATATGAGCTGCTGAAAGGCAAAAGACAGCCGTTTCTCTGCCTTAATGAGCCATGGCCAGGGATTACAGAAAAAAAGTCAGTGTGACCACAGCTGTAAACCCACCCCCTGGACATCCCAGATATGTTTTTCCCACCCAGTGCCTGATCCGAAGGGGAGGAACAACTGAGGCAATGAAACCAGCCGAGTGCGAGCTAGGCCCCTGTGCTCACTAGGGCGTTCACAAAACCTCTGCAGCACCACCCCTCCTGGGCAGGTGCTCCGGTAACTGAAAGTTCCAAGACGAGGCAGCACAGGCAGGCCTAGAAGAGGCCCCTCCCAGACATCTGCTCCAGACTTCCCAGGCGCAGAGCCCCCAGCGCACCCCAGGCCCCTGGCTTCCTCCGGGAGGGGGAAGGGGCCCAGGGGAGGGCTGCTTATAGTTCATGAAATCCCAGCTTGGCCCTGCCAAGCTCCACCAGTAACTCTTCCTCTTCCAAAAAACAACCCAAGGATTATAAAAAAGGAAAAAGAATGCAACCCAGAACTTTCAAGTTCCTAACTCCCCACCTGCAGCAGGGCTAGGAAGGTCTGGCTCAGTGCCCTGAACCCCAGAAGCGCGAGGTGAACTCCTGGCCCTGTAGCCTAGCACCAACCCACATTCTAAGCTTTACCTCCACCACCCAGGAGCAGGACTGGGCCTGATGCTGCCCCCTCCAGGCCTCCAGAAAGCATGTTCAGCCCTGCCTCAAAGCTGGTGGCTGGGCCTACGGGCCTAGAAGAAGACATCCCCCTCCACAAGTGAAAACTATTTTAAACGCTCTGGAGTGAACACAGCAATGTGTTTCTTTGTTGTCTGCATTAAGCTCCTCAGCTGCGAGCTTGGCTATCTGTGATCCACAGCTAGGACCACCGCCTGGAGGAAGGTGGGTCATCACTTCCCTTCTTTCAATAGGCTCCCTTGTTGCTCAACTTGGGCCCTGAAAGCTTTGCTCTTCCAGCTCACCCCATGTGCCCTAACAGACAGGACCCCCCTTGCTTCTCAGATCTCAAGTCCCTTCTCCTTGTGCACACAACTGGACTTGGTAAGAGACCAAACACGATCCCCCTTCAATTCAGGCAGAGAGAACTGGGTCTTCCCTCCCATCAACCTCTACTGCCTCCCCCTGGAAGAAGACGAGCTGGTGGGATGGGCAGCCCAGGGAAGCAGAGGCTCAGTGCCTTCCCCGTGAGCCTCATCCCTTTTCCCACCCCCAGCAGCCTAAGGCTACCCGACCAGCCTGCTCAGTCTTGCCACTGGCTCAAGGTCACTCCCTACGTCAGTGATGGCGAACCTATGACACGCGTGTCAGAGGTGACACGCGAACTCATCTTTTTGGTTGATTTTTCTTTGTTAAATGGCATATAAATATATAAAATAAATATCAAAAATGTAAGTCTTTGTTTTACTATGGTTGCAAATATCAAAAAATTTCTATATGTGACACGGCACCAGAGTTAAGTTAGGGTTTTTCAAAATGCTGACACGCCGAGCTCAAAAGGTTCACCATCACTGCCCTACGTGTTGCTGTGGAATCCATCCTCTCAGGGGCTTTCCCCAAGGCATTTCCCATGGGTTGCAAGCTGAGGAACTGGAGAGGCTCCTCTCATCCCTCAGGTCCTTCTCAGGCCAAAGGCCCATAGGAGGGCTCCCAGGCCAGGGCTCAGCTAGCTGGCCCAGAGCTGGAATGCTTGACGGAGGCATCCTCCGGGGCCCCTTGGGATGCCTCCATCAGAGGGGGGGGGGGGTGGTTCGGATCACTTCCTAGGACCCGCCCCC